AGACGGGAAGAACTACAGCCAACGCAATCACAATCAGCACCAACAGAGCAACAATTAGGATGATGGTCCTGCAAGAGAAACATTAGGCTGGTTTTACTGATCGCCTGCTGTGCGTGCTCGAGAAGCGACCGAAAAGCCAGACCCACTCAGTTCAGCCAGACCTGATTCGCGCGAGTTCCATTCGTTACGATATGATACAGTAGTGGTATGCAGCTATGCGTTCAATTCTAAGAAAAGCCTTAAAATATTAGTTATTTTACCGATTTAGAGAAGAATAAACGTAATTTCAAAACAATATATCGGTGATATATAGACATGTTAAGATTTAGGAGATAAGCCTTTAACCAACGTTCTTAGTTTTAGTAGAATATTGAAAGGCTAACAATTAAACCTGTTGCAAAGTTTAAAATATTCTGCGGCGCTTACTTAGATGCGCATTAAATTTAAAACTTGGGAACCCGACGAATGCATGCTTACAACTCCCAAGCAGAACATGGCGGCGATTGCGGCATCCACGACCGAGCCGTTTGCGTTGAGAATGTCTTTGCCTATTTGGGAGCATTGCGGTGTATCCGTGGCGACGGCCTGTCTTTTGTAGGGTCCACCAGATGATGGATCGGATTTTTTTATCGCAAAAAAATAGACGAGAAGAACTATAGCAAGCACAAGCCCGACAATCAGGAATATCACGCCAGAAATTTTGAGGATCCGACAACAAGAACTACAAGAGAAAAATTAGGTTGGTTTTACTAACTGCCAATTTACAAACTTACAATTTAGGATGACTTAAATTCGAAACAAAATATCGGTGATGATATAGATATTGAAATATAAAAGAAAATGCTTGAACAATTCATTGCTCGCAGTCATATGTCGGTGTGATTAAATTCGAACTTCTCTGTACTCGGTCATTTTAATTCTGTGCACAAGCCACGATGAAAATAAAACATCTGATCGTTGAAGAGGTAAATAACTGTAAAATAACTGGAACTGGCGACTCTGTATGTTAATACTTTACAGCGTTTGTGCTTCAATGAA